GAATTTGCGAGATGAAGTATTCTTCACTCTAGAATTCTTCAAATTTCTCGATCCAACCCAGGTTCTCGATGAAAATTTTGTAAAGACGCTTTAATGCCGTCGATTTAAACGGCTCGACTGTGAGGGCAGTGCAATAAACTATGGAAGCAAATCCGGGCTATAAATAGTCTCAGCGAATTTACGAAGGTTAAAGAAGAATCTAATGAAGAAGGAGGAGGAAGAAGATAACGGACAATTTATGCGAAGGTCCTTAACGACGTTCGATGAAAAAAAGCAACGCTCGGATTCGATGAAACGTATTTATCGAAGATTGATATAAAAGGGACCCCCCAGAGGGGAAGACTGTCGAGTGTGATCGAAGAAACCCCGCAAATTTTCCACCGTTCCAAATTCATTTCGTTGCGTTGCATCGCAGAGACACACGGGTGACTCGTTAGGAGAGGCGGCGCATCCACTAGCTCCATTAATATGTGAGAGAGCCAGCCCTGCCTAAAAAGTGACTTAGCAACTCCAATGCATACTAAGCAAACCTGGCGCTATTGGCTGCTAGTTGTGTATGTACGTGTATCTTACGTGTGTGTGTGTGTGTGTGTACGCGCGTGTATCTGTGCAGGTTCTACCCTGGCACCCCTACCCGATCCAACACACCCTTCGCACCGCGACTGTCGGCGCCCTCGAGCCCGTCTTTACAGGACCAGCAATAGCATATCCGGCTTACAATATATATACATATATATACATATATATATATATATTCCAGCAACACCCGTACACATTTAACCGCACGCACTCACATGCACGCACATCCATGTACAGGGGTAAAAGGGGTACGCATGCAAATTTGAGTTCTTGAGGTCAATTAAATTTCAAGTACATAAATACTTGGTCAATCCCTGGAAATTGTAACTTGAATGGAACTCGCGTTTCATTTACACATCTGAAAAATCGCGGAAATCTGAAAAAGAAGAAAAAAAAAAAGAAAAAAGTTACGTTTAATTCAATTCTGTAATGTAAAACCAAAAAATGAACATTATTCGTAACGCTCTCTTTATGCATTCGGGTTGTTTTACAAGAGGGTCTGTTCCCTGTATATGGCATCGTAATCATCCTGAAACTCAAGCAGACTCCTTCACCGCTACCCTTTCTTTTCTTCTCTCTCTCTCTTTCTCACTCTCTCTCACTCTCTCTCTGCTCCAATATCGTTCTTGTTCTCTCTCTCTCTCTCTCTCTTTCTCTCTTGTAGTGAGTGTGAGTATGCAAAAGGTGAGATGCGCATGCATTCATCGAGATGCAATGCCGTGGCTTGGAACTGCAAGGAAGCAATTTGCGCGAAGGCAGCAGATTTCAGTAATAACTTCATATGCTCGCATGATTTATGCGAAAAAAGAGAGATAAACATCTAAATGATAGGATATGCGATAATAATGGTATATTGAGGAAATCAAATTAATTAGGAGCTGTAATTTTAAGGAGCATTAAATAAAATAAAAGAAAAACGTACATACACTCAATATCAAATTTTATTTTTGTTAGCGATTTTTAAATATAAAAATTTCAGTATACAAAAATATACAAAATAATAATAATTTCAGAAATCCAATTTTAATTTTGAAATATCACGGTTCAAACTTTAAAATAATTATCATTGAAATATTAAAAGATATTAAATACAAATTTTTCTCTTAAAGAAATGAAATAATTACATACAATAATTTATTCCCTAAATAAACTTTTGATGAATTTTTTCACAAGGGAGTACAATACGAAATGTCTCCCTCCAATTTTAATAAGTTTTAGATACGTTAAAATATAGATAGAAATAAGAAATGCATACTTTTTATTTAAATACTTAGTGAAAAAGATCGATTTTCTCCTGAGTAAATATTATTTTATATAAAGCAAAAGTAATATAAGCAAAAGTCGAATAGTTTCGAAGGTACTTTATAATTCGAATAAAATAATATCTCTTTACAAATTATAATTTTTTATAAAGATTTTTATTTATAAAAAATTTTATTTATAAAAATTATTATTTATATTAATGATCGACAAAATTACTTAACAAAATTTTGTCGATCATTATTATAAATACTCCTGAAATCATTTTTTTAAACTTTTTAAGGCTCCTGAGTAGTCACTTCAGCCATATTGAATCGTAATGTCATAAGCGAGAAATGACACGTTGATTTTTCTTACATATCATTTGTATAAAGAGAATTTGGAGAAAACGAAATGATGAGATCGCTTTAAAACATTTGTAAAAATGGACAAAGATTCTTCTTATCTTCTCTGATAATCATAAAGAGTCGAAAAAGGTCGTGAAATGAAAATAGGCTACGCATACGCATTGAATAAAAACTATTAAACGCATTTTACATGCCTTTTATTATTTATTGCCTGTCAAGGGAAATAAGGATAATTCTCGTCCAGTTTTACAAGTGTTTTAAAGCGATCGCATAATTTCATTTCCATCCAAATTCTCTTTATTTACAAATGGCACGCAAGAAAAATCAACGTGTTGCTTATGAGACATTTCTCGCTTATGACGTCACAATTCAATATAGTTGGAGAGTGAGTACTCACGAGCCTTAAAACTGTTTTTATATCTGACAATTTAGATATTTACTCAGCAAGAAAAAATATTAATTTTTTTTTTCTCAAGAAAGAGTTGTAACGCCCATTCAATGGAAAAAAAGCATTTACAAAAACTATATCTTTTTCGTCTATATTTTAACATCCAAAGCTTATTAAGGTAATTGGCTTCTATGAATAAAAGATCAAATTTATAAACTTAATCACATGAGCAAATTTTCGTCACAATAAAAGTCGGACATTCAATTCATTATAGTTCCTTTCTTCGTTTCCGGAGATGGATCATATTCAACGCTCTCGGCTATTATTTCAGAGATAGTGCGTTTCCGAGCCACAGCAGCGTAATCCCACATAGTGTGCATAACATTCTAGGATAAGCTCATGCTTAGTAAATGTGAATGCGTATTCGATAAAGCGAGCGACATTGACTACCAGAATAGAGGCTACGTAAATGAGGAAACACCGCGCAACAGTGAGCGTTCTGAGAGGCTACGTAAATTTTACCTGATGCATGGGGTCGTATCCCATGGAGCCGTCGTTGTACGGCTGCGAACCGTAGTCGCTGCCGTTTATCCCCATGCTGTATCCGGCCATGTCCTGCGGTCCTCCGGGCGGCGCCGGAGACATCATCGGCGTCGGGGTGCCTTGGCTGGCACCGCCCATGCTGTACGGCGATGCTCCTGCAAAAGCTGCTGTAGAAACAATCGCGGTGCATACAAAATTCGAGGGTGCGATTTTGTAAGTTCTTTTTAAAGCCACAACGTACGCATTTTGTCTCTCGTGTCTCGCGAGCTTATGCTCTCTTTTCGGCTCGTGTGAAAACTAATTATTGCAAAGATAAAGATCAGATTTAAGGAACGATATAAAAAAGGCTAATTGAACTTGTATAATGTATCATCGCTTTCTGAATGTAAATGCGTTAGTAATTTCGATTCGTCTTTTTCCTCCAGAAATATCCGAGCCTTCTCTCATAATTTCCTTCAGATTTGTACGAACACCCGGCGGCTTCAGCAGTAGAGAGTATTCCGCGCGCTTGTAAAACCCTCGCGCCATTCGAGACAAGCGTTGTTTCGCAGAGTTAGGTCGTTAGAATTCCGTTTCTTTAATTACGAGAGGACCGCGGCGTCGCGTTTCATCGCAAACGTGGGCGAGGAAAGACAAACGCAGAGAGTGCTGAAAGAAATGCGAGAGAAGCCCGGAATTTCCATCGTACCCCAGCGTCTCACCCATCCTCTCTCCGCCATCTGACTCGCGTTCTCCCCTTCTCACCCAAGTATAATTGGTGAGTTAAAAATATCTCACGCGTCCGAAATAAAGTGAGATGCCTCGGTAGTTAAGCGAGGCGCGCGTAATTGCGACCAGGGCGAGATCCACGAATCCGTGGAATTTCGGAATGGGATCGGGAATTTATCTTGCAATTTTTACGAGAAAAAGGAATTCTTATCGCCTTCGAGGCGAGGTTTGGCGAAAGACAAAAGCAGATAGTAAGCGAGGATGGAATGAGAAAGTCCATCCCGAAAGATGAAACGAAAACTTTATAGTATTCTGTATGTGCTTCGAAACTTTTGAAAACGAGACATTTTTTCAAAGGTTCAGTCACGGAGATATTTCTTCTAAGCATCGCGTGCCAAAGAAAACAAACGCTAGATTTATTCTTCGTCGACGATTCATCAACGGTTGCAATAATAATGTCACTGAGGCGCCGAACAATAGGCAGTAACTCAGTCGCCTAATGATTTACAGTAATGAGACTTCCTCCATCTCGATTCTTAGCTTAATGCTTAAAAAAATGTGAGAAAAAATATATACCACGATTTGTCTGTTAATTACTTCAATTTACAGGAGAACAATTTACATTTCTCGCTTTTAATTCGCTTTTCCTCGGCGAACTTCCAATGTAACTAACAAAAGAGCAATAAGTCCGGGAGAGCATTGAGAGATAAAAATAATGGTAGCAACATAAAAAGGTAGCACTTTAGAAAAACGTTTTATAAATTGCCATATATATTCATAAAATAAAATCTTTTTTGATTTTCGTTAACATGTTGAAATGTTGCCTTCCAATCACGGAGATATTCATACATTTAATCAATTTTGTTGAATCACTTTACAAAATTTTCCTCATGCTTTAAGTAAAACAAATTCGTAAAGGGACACCCACTTAGCGAAGTGGGAACTTACCAGCTGCCTTCTTGGCTGCGTACAGATTCGCTTCCTCCTGCGCTTTACCGATGTTCTTCTTATAGCGTATCCTCTTATTTCCGAACCAATTGGACACCTGATAGCAAACAGAATAAAGTTACGCGCTCATTTCAATTCGCTAAAGGATTCTCGCGCCAATTAGCTCCAACCTAATACTTTTTCATCGAAGCGTTTATTAAAATATTTTACTCAGCGCCGTAATATCTTCTTTAAAGAATAAGCTTAAAAACTTGTTAAAATTACTATAAAAATTAAAAGCCATAGGATGATGCCAGATATTATAAGTTACAAAAGTTCATCTAATACGTATAAGAAAAGATAATGGACGATACCTGACTCACGGTAATTCCGCATTTTCGCGCGAGCTCTTCCTTGGCCTCTTCGCTCGGGTAGGGATTACTAAGGTGAGAATAAAAGTATTCGTTCAGAATTTCGGACGCCTGTTTGCTGAAATTTCTTCTTTTACGTCTGCAACAAAAGTCAATTCGTATCGTGTTAATTGGCGGCGAATATTTTCCGAATTTGGATACACAAAAAAGGCACGGAAAATGATTATGACGATAAATGTGGAATGCATTTTATATACATATTATCTATTACTCGTATTATTCAGTTTCAACACGAACCTGGCGTCCAAAAATCGACTCCTCAGGATCATCACAGCTTCGCAAGTGGACTGTTTCAGCTGCATTTGGATGCTGGAGAACTTCTTGTGGATAATCTGAACCATCCTTTCAATTTCTTTAGGCGTGATTGGCCTGGTACGACTCTGCTCCCTCAACAGGTTCATTACGTGAGTAGTGAATTCGTTACAAGCCTAAAACAAATAAAGACAAAGCGCCGGGTTTTACCAACCATTAATCATTCAGCAGGACGCGTCGAATTTAATGTAAGACATTCATTACG